CCTCCTCCTCCTCCTCCTCCTCCTCCTCCTCCTCCTCCTCCTCCTCCTCCTCCTCCTCCTCCTCCTCCTCCTCGTTATCCTCCTCATCTCCTTCCTCCTCCCCCTCCTACTCAGGATGAAGAGCCGGCCCTGGCGGATTGGTCAAGACCTCTGGGTGTTGACGTTACGAAGCGATCCTGCCCCCCTCCCCCTTGCCCCCCCTCGCGCTCGCTCCCGCGCCCGTCGCTGCTCACCTCCTCATGCCGCCTCCCCTCCTGGCCCCCCTCCGCCCTTTCTTCCCTCTCTCCTTCCTGCCCCCCCTCCTCCGCCCCTCGGCCCCTGCCCCCCGCCAACTCCTCCCCCCTTTCCCTCCCGCGGCCCTTCTGCGATCTTGGCCGCGCCCCGCGGAGCAGCCCGAGGCCACTAGTCGCCGACGGCAGAACACGGCCGGGTTGTCTCGGCCCTACGTCCCTTCCCTTCCTCTCCCCTCCCCTCCGCCCCTCCCCCATCGCCGAAACGGGAAGGTGCCCCCCCCCCCTCCCCCCCCTTCCGTCCGCCCCCCATCGCCGCAGCTTGTGGCCCACACTGGGCACATGTGAGGGGGGAGGGCAGGGGGGATGGAAGGGGAGGGGGGAGGAGCGAGAAGTATGCCATCGGAGCTCCCCGCGCGAGGGTTTTCGTGGGGCCGCGCGCTCGAGGGGGGAGGGGGGGATGGGGGAAGATCCAGGGGCGGGAGGGATGAGAGGCTGCTCCTGTCTTCCGCTGTCTGGGCAGGTTCGGGAGCGGCCCCCCAGCGCCTGCGCCCCCAGGTGTCGAAGATGTGAAGGCCATGACCTCCCAGCCCAGTGATCCCACCAGGATGGTATCCGAGCGTTTCGGAGCTTGCACCTAGGAGCTTGAGCTGTTTACGAATCAGATGAGAATGCTCGGTCTGTATTTCCCTCGGATGCAGTCCGAGTTCATACCGATGGCAACGAGTCGGGAGGAACAGTTTCGGGATACGAAGGTGCTGAAGGACGAAGCGATCCACCAGGTCACCCTTGATCCGGATGCTGAGCTTCGAGGCGGGATGTGACAGTCACCGGCGGCGTCTGCTCGTGCGGGCACCAAGTTGAGGGATAATGATGGCTCGGCTCGTCGCAGGATGCTCCGTGCCGTGGGACCTGATCGGGAAAGTGCTACTCGGCTCGCCGTGCTCGGTTTCCAGAAGCGCGCGCGGTGTTAGATGATACGATGCTGGGGTATTTCGTATCAGTCCCTCTCCTCCCTCGCCTCCTCCTCCTCCTCCTCCTCCTCCTCCTCTTCCTCTTCCTCCTCCTCCTCCTCCTCCTCCTCTTCCTCCTCTTCTTGCTCTGGCGTATACCTGCCAGAATGTTCGCCCCGAGTTTCGGCCACGTTCGCAGGACATACGTTCTGCTGGACACCGTGAGTTCTGACTCTAGCGGCATCCCCGCCAGCGCCGTTACGACAGGTAACGACATGTACGTGGCGATTCACGGAGCTGCCATCGATTGTTACCTCACCATCACCACTGCTGCGAGGAAAAAATGTCGGATCATCCCCTTGGAAGTTGCAGTGCGCCCCGTTGCCCACGTGCGCAGCCCTACTGGGGAAGAGCCCACAGCGCGTGCCTACTTATTGACTCGCACGGTGGTCCTTGACTTCTCATCCACTCTCGCTTGCTCAGCCTTCTTCGGTAAGAGACGGACTGCCGGCAGCGCCGTTACTACGAACCCGATGGGCCAGCAGCCGCGGGAGCTCCGCGCCCGTCGCGCCCTTTCCCTCACCACTCTCAACCCGTTTCTCTACCTCGGGCAAGCGCAGCTCTACCTCGGGCAAGCGCGTGCGATCCTGGCAAAAGTCGTGGGGCTGTTCCAGGGTGGGAATAACGGATTGGGTGGACAAGTGCATGGGCTCCTCTCGCCAGAGCATCCTGCGATCTCGGCGAAGGTCACGGTCTCCGAGACAGGGTTCCTTCAGCTGACAGTGAGCTATGAGGGCGTGGCGGCCTTTGACAGGAGTGAGCACGCGGGCTGCGTCGCGATTCTTTGCAGCCCAATTCGCCCCGCTCGCTGGCGATGCGAGTTGCCCGGGGAGTCAAGTTTCTGGCTTTTCGCTGGCCTCTGAACCTGGGTGTTTGCGTGCGGGCTTTCCCTCGGGACTGGGCCTCGCAGGGGGTCGCGGGCTGTTTGGGCGCGCCCGGTCGGACAGGTCCGCGCGTGGCCAGGCTGTGCTGCAAGCCAGCCATGTTTGCATGAGAAATCGTCTGGGGGTAGCTCTCCCCGCCTGACCCTGCCTCTGGGGCGAACAGGCTGTTCTTTCCGCCCCATCTGCTTCTTTCTGCACCTGGAGAATGCATATATGCGCGCTCGTCTCGTCCTACTCATCGACCCCCCCCCCCCCCCCCCCCTGTTGCCAGCAAGCGGTTCAGGCTGCTGTTCAGCCTGGTTGGAGGATTTGACGCGGCTTGTTTACAAGGCGGGCGAGCAGAACGTTTGCGCCGCGGGGGAGATGGCGCCGATGGGGAGGGAGCAGATCGCGGTGTCAGGGCTCTAGGCAGCGCGTCGCTCAACGCATTCGCTCTCCCGCGCGCGCGCGCGGCGCCGAGGGCCGCCGCGGAGGAACAAATCATTGCGATATTGGCACGGGAGAGCGCGGCGACCCAGCGGGGTTGCCGCTGCGTTCGCGGCCATGTTCCGCGTTTGGGATTCCGCCCCCCCGCCTGTCCTGGCGCGCGGGTCGCGGGGTGGGGCGGGGGCTTTCTGTTTCTTCGCCTGGGGCGGTTTGGGAGCGGGTGGTTTCCAGTTGTTCTTTGAGGGGGGGGCTTGGGCGTTTTGGGGGGGTGGCTGCGCCTGTGGGGGTGGGAGGCTTGGGGGGGCCTGGCCCGCGCGGGGAGGGGGGTGCTTGTTGGGGTGCTCGGGCGTGGGCGGGGTTCGCCGGCGGGCGCGGGCGGGGCGGGGGGGGGAGCGGCGCTTGGCTCGCGGGTAGGGCGGGGCTCGGCGTTCGGGCGGCGGGGGGGGGGGCTGGCGGCCGGGGCTCGGGCGCTTAGCCGGGAGGGGTGGGCGGGCGGAGGGGGGGGCGGGGTGGCTTGGGCTCGCGAGGTGGGCTGGGTTGGGGCGCGGGGGGGGGGCTCGTCGCGTTTTGCTGGCTGCTCGATGCGCGGTAAGTATTTGTTTATCTGGTCGGCGCGTGGCCGCGCCGGCGCGGCGCGCAATGCTGCCTTATCGAGGGCCCCAGTGTGCGGCGGCGCTGCGGCCGCCGGGCCGGCGGCGCGGGAGCGGGTTCCAGCGGGGGCCGACGCGGCGATGCTTTTTGCCTTCAGGCGCGGGGCGCCAAGCCGGGGGACTCCATCAGGGCGAGCTGCGCACGGCGCGGCCCCATCAGGGGCCCTCTGCGTTGAGGGGCGCGCGGCCATCAGGCCTGCAGCGCGGGGGCGGGCCGCGGCAGGGGCCGGGCGCCGGCGCGCGCGGGACCTTCAGGCGCGGGGCGCGGGGCCAGGTGATTCCATCAGGGGTCGTCTTCGGGGCGCGCGGCCATCGGGCCTGCAGCGCGCGTGGCGGCCCATCTGGGCCCTGCCTGGAAGGCGCGCGGCCAGCGGGCCCGCGGCGCGGGACCAGGCCCCAGCAGGGGCCGGCGGTCCGGCTGCATCGCGGCGCGGAGCGCCCGCCCTTACGGGAGGTGGCGCGAGCGCGGGGGCGCAACGCGTGGCGCGCGGGTTCGAGAGCCGCTGAGAGCGTTTGAGTGTCGTTCCCTGCGCACTTGTGCCCAGTCGAGCGCGATGTGGCCTCGCGATGAGATTGGCGCGGTCTTGGCGGGCCTGCTGGGGGCGGCCTTCGGTGGTCGCGCCGGCTCCGTCGCCGCAGCGGCGCAGGTCGAGTTCGTCGCTGGGACCGACCCTGGCGCGCGCGAGGGCGGTCGGCCCCTCGGGTGGCACGCTGCAATTGCACGCCACATGGCGGAGCTTTGCGAGAGCGTGGAGCCGAACGATTTTGCCGACGAGCGCACGCGCCAGTGGGTTCTTGACCATATCAGATCGGGAGCTGCCCCCGCGAGCGAGCCAGGCGACTGGCCGACGGCCCGCATCTCTCGCGCCCAGGTGCGCAGGGGCGGACCACGCTGCGCCGCGCGTTCGAACCACCGCGCGGCTTCGCGCGCAGGCGTCGCTGGCGACCCGCGCGCATCAGCGCGCAGCTCGGGGCCCCGCGGCCCCACAGATGCCAGCGGTCGGGCCTGGGCCCGCGGCGGTGGGCGGCGAGCTCTCCGAGGCCACGCGCGAGCACGCGAAGCTTCGAACCGCGGCGCTCGAGCGCGAGAAGAAAGACAAGAAGCTGTCCCTTTGCTTGCAGACGCCCTGCGCGCGCCCCCGCGAGTCGCGCGCGGCGCGACGTCGCGGCAGGCGCGCGCGGCCGAGAATGGCCCGAGCGTTTTTCCTTCGGAGGACTTCCCCGCGGAGGAGGCGACGCGCCGCTTCGAGGCGCGGCGCCTGCCCGGCCTCCCTCACGACGGGGGGCGTCGCGATGCTCCAGGGCCTGGCAGCAAAGACGGCCAGGGACCGCGGCCGCCCGTGGATGGGCCCCCCCGACGGGGAGGACCTGCAGATCAACTTCAGGCCGCCCTGGTCTGAGCATCAGCTCGGGAGGGGCGAGCGCGGGCTGCGCGGCGCGCGCGCGCGCACCAGGTCGCGGAAACCAGAGCTCGGAGTGCTCGTGGGATCGGGGAGTTGAAGTCAGAGAACCCGCGAGTCCTTGATCGCGAAGAGAGCTGCGTCGGCGGAGACCCGGGTTGACTACCTAGGGTTTGCGAACTTCATGGCGCGCACACGCCGTCGTGAGCAGGGGCCCGGCGCCCCTGTTACTTGCACGCACGCGCGCAGGCTCACCTCATGGATTTGGGAATGAAGTTGGCTCTCGCCGGTACACTCACGCTTGCGCAGTTTCTGGGTTATCAGTTCCAGATTCTCAGGTTACGGCCGCAGCGGCACCGCGGGTCCTCTCCCCAGCGGCTGCGGCGCGAGGTCGCCGAAGAGCATGGGGGAACGCGCGCGAAGTATAAATGCGACCTGAGGCTGCGGCGAAAAAATTGCAATCAGGCGGGGAGTAGCGTTTGCGCGTCATGTCGTTCTTGGGGCTGGCTGCGTGACGCTAGGCTGGAGCAGGGCACGCTGTCCGGCGAGTCGGCGGGGGCAGTTCTGTCTATCCTCGACTGGGAGGCCCGTGGCTCCCATGTGTCGTTCGGCTCGTCTGCGCGCCCAGTGCGCGCGCGCGGCAGGTGCTGGCGGAATTCAAGAACAAAGTAGCAGACAAGGCCAAGGGCGTCGGTGCCGCGGCGGCGATGGGCAGGGGCTCGGGGGCCCAGCTGGGCAAGCCTGCGAAGGGGGGCGGCAAGGACGGGGGGGCTGGTCCGCGCCGCCCCCATACGCTGCCGCGCCGGAGTCGCACTGGGACAGGCGGGGAAGGATGGGGCAGGATTCCTCCGTAGGCGACGCGGCGCGCGGTTGCTCTCGCCGCGGTCTGGCGCGGCCTTCCTTGGAGCGGCGCGATCTCTGGTGCATACCACATATTGCGAACGCTTGCCACGGTTCGGCGATGCCTTGCTAGAGGCGCAGGCGTTCTTGATCTTGGGATGGGCGCAGCGGGGGGGGGGGGGGGCGGGCGCGGAGGAGGAGGAGGGGGAGGAGGAGGAGGAAGAGGAGAAGGGGCGGAGGAGGAGGAGGAGGAGGAGGAAAGGAGGGGAAGGAGGAGGAGGAGGAGGGAGGCCGAGGCCGAGGCCGAGGCCGAGGCCGAGGCGAGGCCGAGGCCGAGGCGGAGGCGGAGGCGGAGGCGGAGGCGGAGGCGGAAGCGGAGGAGGAGGCGGAGGCGGAGGCGGAGGCGGAAGCGGAGGGGGAGGCGGAGGCGGAGGGAAGAGGACCAGAGGCGGAGGAGGGAGGGGGAGGAGGGAGGTGGGAGGAGGGAGGAGGGAGGAGGGAGGAGGAGGAGGAGGAGGAGGAGGAAGAAAGCCAAGCAGGAGGAGTGGCACATGTGGGAGGTCAACGCTCTCAAGCGGCACCACAACGCCAAGCTAGAGGAGGAGGAAGCAAAAGCATACGAAGCACAAAGAGGCACCCAGAGGACACAGGAGGAAAGGGCCAAAGGGATGCTCGCAGACCTGCAAATGCATATCGAGATGGAAAAGAAGACCTTGCGCGAGGAGATGCACAAGGAAGACCAGAGAAGAGCAGCCATCTACACGCAGCAGGTCCAGAAGGCCAGGCAGGAAGAGCAAGTTGTGAGAGAGATGGCAACCCAAGAGGCCCAGTGGTACAAGATGGCGCAGGAGCACAACGAGAAGGCGGTGCAGGAGATGGCGGAGGCGGAGTACCAGGAGAGATGCGCCCGCCACAGCGCTTATAAGGAGGAGGAGCTGCGGATCGCAGTGAACTACCAGCAGATGGCCCACGAGCATCAGGAAGAAGCCAACAAGCGCGAAGCGATGCGGGTCGTCCTGAACCTGGAGCACGCAGCCATCCAGGCGAAGGCATACGAGATGCAGCACGAGCAGGAAAGGTATCTGGAGCGCGTCGGCGAGCACCAGGAGGAGGTGGACAAGGCCCAAAGGATGGAGGAGGTGGCACTGCAGCGACAAGCAGCAGCCACAAGCGAACTCCATGCACTACAGCAGCAGCAGGAGATGGAGAACCAAGCGGCGCATCAGTACCACAGCACACTGCAGCACCAGTGCCAGCAGGAGATGCAGGCCATCGCGCAGCACTACGCCCACAACCATCACATGAACGAAGCGCAGAGGCAGCAGCAATTACAAGAACTCCAACGGGCACATGATTTGCAAACGGCAGGACTCCAGACTGCACTACGGGATGCCTGGGGAGCAGGAGGACAAGTGGACGAAGACCTGCTAATCGACATGACGGATGACCTCATGGGAGACACAGCCACGAGCGAGCGCGACCAAGGCATGGCGGACCAGGAGGGCGCGTACCAGAGGGAGCAACTTGAGGCAGACTTACTTCGGCTGCTACCTAGCCAGTACGAACTTCCACACCCAGAACTGCCGCCGTACCTCGAGGAGCTGGCCGAGGTGGGATTTGGAGAGAGGTCCCATACATCGTCTATGCCAACGCCAGAGGAGCCTACCCCCTCGTCGAGCGACGACCTCAGCTCCCAGAACCAAAGCTTTGTGCCGAGGACATCCGCCGAAGAGTGGCCGCTCCCCCCACCACCACCTCAGCAGCGCCAGCACATCGAGGAGTACAACAGGGTCGGCTCCTTTTCGCACTCAGGGATGCTCGAGGTACGGGCGAGCAGCGATTGCATCCCAATTGGCGAATCCGACGACGCTGACTTGCTGGACGAAGATTTGAAGAACCGCCAAGGCCTGCGCAAGGAGAAGGAGGGCGAAGCCCCGACAGACCTCGCCTCACTCTCACCAACGATACCAGCCGACTCACCCATCCCGACGGAACAGCCCACGCCAAGACATATACTGTTTCCGCCCGTCACGCCTCTCACGCCACACAAGACCCCGCAACAGCGTTCACAGCCAGCCAAGACTCCCATGACGACGCTGCTCATCGACCTCAGCCGCGACGAGGAGGATTGCCCCAGCACACCTCCACGGATGCCGATTGAGGATATCACGCCCACCGAGCCACACGAGCCACGACTGCCACCACCGCGTTTCCACTTGGGCACGCCAGAGAGGACGAGTTCTGCACCTCCAGGCAGAGGTAACTTGAAGCAACCAAGGGAACCCAGGAGGGCGAGGAGCCAGCCGAAAAAGGTCAGGATCTGCGACGCGGACGATGGCTTCGCGGACCCAGGTGACAGAGTGGCATCCTTCATCGAGAGCGGCGAGAGCGACCTCGACGGGGGTCGACTGTCAAAAAACTGATACGGAGTACGCAGGCTGGGGGGCAACTGGCCCAGACCTGCGCACAGACAACTACACCAGAAGATATCGGGGACATCGGGCCCAGACTCAGAGACCCGCGCGGTGACGAGCCTACGCCCAACGACCCACACCCATGGCTTTCGGCCATACGCACACGATCGCACCTAGCCTCCATCACACTACATAGCTATGTCCAAGCCGATGCGAGCCTGGGGGATGCCGCATCCGCTTCAAACCACCAACGCTCTACTAGGGAGCCCCGACTCAAGAGGCGTAGCAGACGAACTACCTGCACTACCAGCTCCCTAGACGCCGCGTCTGTGGGCAAGGGTGGGGACCACCCACAGAACGGCGACATCAAGTCTGAGCGCTCCAAGCGCGGACCTGAGCGACTCCCTCAGGCCGCGAGCCCCACTGCCAGCGGGGTTCAGACAAGCAACCAGCACCGCGACAGGGTGAGACTGCAACAAGAGTGGGAGAGCTACTCGAGCAGTCCGACGCAGTGCCAACAGCGTGGACCAAGGCGACACCCCTTGGCCATGCCTGGTTCGACATGCCACTTCGCGGGAGCCGCGGCGGCCCATGCGGCGTCGCAGCCCAGGCAGCACAGCCATGCGAAGGAGGACCCAGGCAGCAGGTCGAGACTACCAGATCTATCACATCTGGAGGTCTCCCAGCGCCGGGTACTCGAGGAGCACCCCACGCTTGCAGTCGACGGAGCCTGGCTTGCCCGCCAACCTCTCGACCCCAGCCACCTGGGCTCGCAAGCAGACCACACGGCAAGCACAAAGACCCCTAGAGGGCTGGCTAGTCCACCAGCGACAGCCAAATTAAATGCAGTTACCACGACACAACCAAGCACTGACTACAATCGACAGATACAGCATGGACCCATACAAGCCTACCAGCTAGAACAAATACAGGACACATACCTTGACAGCAAAAGCTACAGCCCTACATCAGCAGAACCGCACCTCAAAGACGCCACAGCTGTTGCAAGAGAAAGAAGAGTGGCGAGGCGCAAAAGATTACTAAGACAGGCACTCAGGGTGGAGATGCGACCAGACCTTGGAGTGCCGCTGATCAAGAACCCCTTCGAGGCGCTTGCGGACAGCAGCATCTGCGAGGACGAAGCACTGCCAGATAGCACTCAGCCCCCTGGAGCGGAACATCCTGAAGAGCAGGACTTGGGCTCCGCCAGCGAGTGCCCGAGTCGAGAGCGCAGCATCTGTCCGAGGTCGCGTACTACTTGGAGGGCAGCGCCTCGGTACACATCAGCAGGGCAGACTCCACGCTCTGACGAGTCCAAACAACACAACGTACCGACCAGGACCTACCCGCGTTGGCGTGTCAGCGCGGGGTCGCCTCACTCTGCAAGGCCGTCGACGGACGGACCTGCTCTCCCCGAGCAGCTGCGGGTTGACTCCCCCTTGCAGGTGCGAAGACGCGAGAGCATGCCTCCGACGGGAGGGTGGCCGATGCCTTGCTCTCGTGACAGCGATGTCGTGCTGGGGCGCTCAACCAGGTCCAACGACGAGCAACCATCTACACTCCCGCCACCGACACCAGCCAAACCAAACCTAGACCCTCAGGAGCAACGCGCAGAGCCAGCACTACCTATCTTTCCACCACCGAACCCAACCGACCCTCATGGCGGCATATCTCATCGACTACGTGACAGCATGCTCCAAGCCCAATCACACGAGCTCCTGTTCAGTCAGGCCGTGCGGGCTGGATCGGACAACTTGAACGCCGATGAGAAGTGCTGCCAAAAGCCGCCGTCCCCACGGGAAAGGAGCACGACGCGGACGGGGACCAAGCCCTACAAGCCGACCGACCACTTGGAGACCGAGCAACCACTCCCAGACGCAACGACTAATGCCAGACAGCACCCCCAGCCCCAGAGGGACGCACATCCCCGACGAGCAATGCTGCCGTTCAGGAGCTACCACGGAGCTAGCGGGCAGCCGACGGGGCGGCAACAACCCATCTCCGCACCACAACGACGTACAACCCCAGCCATGTACCCCTTCCGCATCCCAACTAGGCGGAGCACAACGGCGGAAGACGCCCGAGACAACCAACGCACTAGCCAACACACCAGCACTGACAGCGAGTACAGCGACGACTACCGGCGCTGCAAGCGCAGAAGGAGACGACGACAAAGAACTAGACCCGCAACACACGGGCAAGCGCACAAAACCGACCAGCGCAGAGACGGCAACAGCACGCAGCGACGCTTCCTCAACATCGGATCCCCACAGTTCCTACCGACGCAATTCCAGCAACACATCCAGAAGCTGACATGGCATTACGACCTCGAAGAGCACGACCTGCACGAGCATACCAGGCTGGCGGTGAAGCACCTTGCTCCCTCGAGACCTTTGTCGGCTGTGAAGCGGCACTACTACTTCACCGACGCGTCCTACCATGCCAAAGCACCGGGTACATCAGCATGGGCAGTGGTACACCTGAGAGAAGACGACCAGGGCATCGCCTACTACAGGCACATGTACTCCAACCACGCCCTGTCCGTTAGCGAGGAGATGGCCAACAACATCACCTCCAGCACCAGCCCCGAATTGGGAGCGCTACTCTGGGCAGGCATCGCATGCACACAGGAGGACGATGAGCAGGAAATCGTCATTATCGGAGACAACACCGCGGCTTTGGGAGCGGCAGCTGGAACATCGCGGATCAGATCGAGTAGGAACCGCCCTCTTGCGAGGTTTAC